TGCTTACACTTTGTTGGCATTCTCATTGTCCCCTTATAAATGGTTCTTGGATTGTAGGATTTTATACAGAACAAAACTGCACAGACACAAGATTTGGCTCAACCACGAACCTGCTTGTTTTTTAAAAACCTCCTAACACTCAGTCTACCTTAGCGGTTTTTGTATCGAAAATGACATTGCACAACATCTCAATCAATTTGTCCAATTTAAATTCCCCCACAATTTAAACTCTGCTCTCTCCCAAATATAAAATCATCTTTCCAAAAATTTCGCAGGCCAAAACCCACATTTCTGCCCCAACCTAACTCAATTCAGACCCAAACCTCTCTAGATTGGTTGTTACACTCCAATTACTTTCAGCTTCCAGCATCAATACCCCGCAGATTTGGCTCATAACTTAGAATCCTCCATGCAGTTGGCTGTTCAGGTGAGAACTGTAGGTTCATGAGCTATGCTAACAGTTCCTGACTGTAGTCACCCCACCACCAGAGTGAGATTACTATGATTTGGCTGGAACACTTAAACCATCCCCCATATTGCTGCTGTATCCAATTTTCAATGTAGGCCTGAGTCTGGCTAACTGATCCTAACCTTTCTCCCATCTGCAATAAAGTGCCTTCAATTTTGTCCCCTTTTTAATGATTCCTCTCAAATATCTCACTACCATATCAAACATTTTCATGTCATTCATACTGTTCAGGATGTCTGATAGCTAATCCTTCTTAGTTTATTCCACACACAGTCCAGGCAAGTATGATTGGCGAACTATGCAGTCCTTTTCCATGGAGAAAAAAATTCCAGACAAAATGATCAGTTCACAGTGATTTTAGACTCTCCTGCTATTTGGAGGTATCATGACAACAGTTATGAGCAGGACAAAGGTTTGAATTATTCATTCCCTTCCTCAATGGGAAACCACCATAGGAACAAGGGCCAGATGGCAATACTTTTGTATTTAGTGATCAATCTCTTGATTGCATTAGGCAGTGGCAAGTAATGGCATTCCCCTTTACTACTGCTATCATGATAGCAATCAGATGATGTTGAATTTCTATTGCTGAGCCACTGTCTTTTACTTAATGGCTGAATTTATGCCCCTTACTGTATAGCCCACCTGTGTATGTTTGTTCTGAAGTGTTGGATTTTATTTCACAATACTTATGTCTTGGGTTTGGGTTTTTCACATTGTATAAATTTCCCAATTTTAATGGGTTCTGATGCCACAATGTCAGCCATATTTGTAGCATTTAATAAATGTGGACACATTACATTCTAGGTAAATAATAAATAAATTGCTTTCAACTTCAGTTTAATTTTTTTACAAAAGACTGCATAAAATGCTTTCCGGAAGTCCACCTAAAGCACATGCACAGACATGCCCCAGTCCACTATTTTAATCCCCTGTTCGTAAAATCCCTCGTGTGTCAGGTATTACCCACTGTTTAGAAATCCATTCTAGCTGTCTCTGATCAACTGAAAATTCTTGTGGTGTTCAGTCATCTTATTCTTCATTATAAAATACATTAATTTTCCAAACAGCATTCAGCTAAATGTTCTCTAACTCTGGTATTCCATATCTTATTTAAGTAGTGCGATAACAGGTGCAATTTTCCAAACCATAGCAATGTTTTCTAAATTAAGAGAACTTCAGAAGTTCTCTTAATTTGGAAAACTATTGTTAGGGAATTTGCGCGAATTTTAGCTGCTTCCTTCAAATCCCGAGAATGAAAGTCATCCGTTCCTCTGGATTTGTCAGTCTTTAGTTTCATGATTTGCTTCATATTATTGTTACATATTGGGTTCCTTGGTAATATTGGTTTCCTTGAAATATCCAGCATGTCAACGTTTCCTTTCATGTAAATACTGAGGTGAATTAGTTACTCAAAATGTCAACCATTTCCTTCATGTCATCGACAATACCATTATAACCACTTGTCAGAGTTCCTCATTACCTCCATTTTTTCTGAATATAATTCTGTTGATTTTGCTAACCTTTGCAAGTTTCTTTTCTGTTTTGTCACCCTTTATTGCTATTTGTAAATTTCCTATTTGCTAGGCTCTGTGCTATAATTTTGCTTTTTTTTCTTTTACTTTCATTATCAGTTTCTTCTTTAGTCATTTATGGCTGTTTCTCTTGGCAAATAGAGTTCTTTCCCTTTGGGGTACAAACTAATTCTGGCCCACTTTAAATACCTTTTTGAACATTCACTGATCCGGCATTTTTTAACGATGTATCCTATTTAACTAAATCGTCCCATTGAAGTCAGTCATAATTAGATTCACAGTCTTTGTACCTTTTCCTTCCTTTCAAACACTACATTGCATTTGACCATACTGTGATTGCTATTTGATATTCACATACCATTAGGCCATTAATAAATCTAGTTATTATTCACCAAATCTAATATGGCATGTCCCTCATTGGTTCTAGAATGCAGGGGATCCCTGATTTACAAACGTCCAATTAACAAACACCCGTTTTTGCAAATGCAATCCCATATACGTGCCTTAATATTAATTTTAAAGATCCGACATACGAATGTTTTCTCGTACTTACGAGAGATTATTTTATATTGTCCTGCATTGTTTCCAACTTGCGTACAAATTGATTTGCAAACGGAGTCAGGAATGGAACCTGTTTGCAACGTGAGGACTGTCTGTATACTCATTCAGAAGTCAATTCCAGGCAAATGCAAAAAAACTCACTACCTTTCTAACACAAACTGTACTCATCCCATCTATCTGAAAGTTAAATTCTCCCATTAAAAACACTCTTCCTTTGCTACAAGTTTTTCCCAATGTCTGCATTTATACTGCTGATCACTTTACTAATGCTACCAAGAAGCCTGTTTTCAAGCCTATAATAGTCTTATGTATTATCTGTTTCTTAAGTCTATCCATAAAGTTTCCACTGTTCGTTTACGTCTGATTATATCCTCTCATCATAATGTAATTTCATCTTTAATCACTAAGACTTCCCCAACCATTTTCATGCAGTATTTCCCATAGACTCAATTTCCCCTTTCTTTCTACAATGAATATAACTGAAGAAAAAGTTGATCTGACCAATCAAATCAAATCAAAATGCAACACAAAATTCAAATCATCCATCTGTTAGCAGAACAAAGCATTTATCCCGCTCACGTTAATTTCTCCTGACAAGAAATACATGCGTTCAGAAAGCCAACTATACATAAGAAGCACATATGTGGCAGATTAGATTTCTTTCTGGTCTTTGGAATGAGTAGTTGCTCCATTGTCCTCTTTGGGAAATGTTTGTCTATTCCATGACATGAGTGAAATCTGATGGAATTGGTCATGGCATGGGCCAAGATTGGACGTCTGTCTCGCCAGGGATGGCAGGCTAAGGGAAAGGCCAAAACGTTTAGGTGCAGCGTCTATTCCGAGAGCCCAAGAAATGCCCCTGGCTGAGAATGGATGGGTGTCCAAGTGCCCTTTTAATATGTTGCCAGAAGCTTTGACCCCTAAAGGTTCTGGGGCTGCAAGAACTCCTTCCAACCTACATCACAAGATTCACCAAGCTCCTTACACATGCATAATTAATGACCTGAGAACTGGGTGATGGAGTAAAAGAAGTCAATCCAACCTGGGGTGTGACCAGTATGTCTTGTGGTCAGTACAAGTTAGGCTGCAAACTCAGTGCCAAGAACTAGTGGATTAGGGTGACATAAACCCTTTCCATCTTCACATTGTGACTTTATCACATGGGATTCAGACAGCCAGCAATTTCAGCCAGTACTTTTTCTTATGGTTCAGTTCAAACCCAGATCTGAGCTAATGCAGACAGTGTGCAGCTGGAGGAACATGGCATGCCAGGCAGCATCAGAGGAGCAGGAAAGTTGCCTTTTTGGATTGGGACCCTTCTTCAGAAATGGGAAAGGACCTGGGAAATAAATAGAGAGAGGAGGGGTGGGGCTGGGCTGGGCAGGTTAGGTGAATTTGCCATGCTAAATTGTCCATAGTGTTCAGGAATGTGTAGATTAGGTGGGTTACAGGGGAATGGATCTGGGTGGGATGCTGCGAGGTTCGGTGTGGACTTGTTGGGCCGAAGGGCCTGTTACCACACGGTAGGGATTCTATGATTCTATATTTCCCTCCCCACCCCTATCTGCCTTTCGTAGGGACCGCTCACTCCACAGCTCCCTCGTCTGCTTCACACTCCCCACTAGCCCCGGCACCTTTCCCTGCAACAGCAGGAAGTGCTACATCTTCCCCCTCACCTCCATTCAAGGCCCAAAACAAACCTTTCATATCAGACAGGGTTCATCTGTACATCTGCCAACTTGGTCTACTGTATCCACTGGTCCCGATGTGGCCTCCTCTACATCGGTGAGACCGAGCATAGACTCGGAGACCATTCCTTACAGCATCTGCATTCTGTACGCAACAAACGACAACACCTTCCAGTCGCCAACCATATTAACTCCCCCTCCCACTCCCTGGGTGATATGTTCATCCTGGCCATCCTCCAGTGTCACAATGACACCACATGCAAACTGGAGGAGCAACACCTCATATTCCTCTTCGGGAGCCTACAGCCCGATGGCCTAAACATGGAATTCACCACTTTTAAAATCTCCCCACTCTCAAATTCATCCTATGTCCAACCTTCCCTCTTATCCCCACCTCCTTGACCTGACACAACCTGTCCATCTTTGCTCCCACCTTTCTGCCCCACCCGTCCCACTGACCCATCCCCACCACTCCCTACCTGCACCCACCTATCACCATCCGACCTACCTTCCCCAGCCCCACCCCTCCTTTTTATTTATTTCTGAGCTCCCTTCCCCCTCCCCATTTATTGAAGAAGGGTCCCAACCCGAAAAGCCAACTTTCCTGCTCCTCTGATGCTGCCTGGCCTGCTGTGTTCCTCCATCTCCACACGGTGTTGTCTCTGACTCCAGCATCTGCAGTTCTTGCTACCTCTGAGCTAATGCACCCTTATTCTGACACAATATGTTGCTGTTTCTTTCACTTAGAGCTCGTTAGAGAGGCGCTGACATTGCTCCAGTTGGAAAATGGCAGGGGCATGTCATTAAATGTTTGTGAATTTGGCCTATTGCTGGGACTACCACGGAAAGTTGTCCAGGACTGCCTCTTTGAGCTTGAAAGTGCCGAAGATTTTCATCAGCTTGCTGCAGTGATCCACGTTTTCATGGAAAAAACCAATGATGCAGAGAGACTAAGGCAAAGGATGGCTACTGCTAATAGATATCGTAAGATAAGATATGCATAGTTGTGTAGATTTTGAAAAGTCTGTGTTTTACAACATTTGCGTGTGGTTCAAGTTTTCTGCTGTTGTTGAATGCCATGCCTGGAGTGTAAGCATCAGTAAAAAGAAAAGGCAAAGTTGCATTTATATTGTGTCTCATTCCCTACAGCAACCACCCTGTCCAAAATACTTCACAGCACCAAAGTGCTTTTGAAAAGTAGTCACTGTTATTATGTTAGAAACATCAATTTGAGCATAGCAAACTCCCACAAACAGAAACTGGATAAATGACCAGATATTCTGTCTCTGTAATGTTAATTGAAGGATAAATTTTAGCCAAAACCAACTTCGCCTTGATTTCAAGTACACATGAAGTTCAACTGAGAGAGCAGTTTAATATGTCTTCTAAAAAACAGCATTTCTGACAATGCCACACACCTTCAGGGTTGCGTGCAAGAACAATGTAAATAGTAAGCTCAAGTCTCTGGAGTGAGGCTTCAATCCTTCTAAACTCTGAAAGGTTAACACTTAAATTTTAATAGTCACTTAAATAATTGAGGAAACTGCAAATAAAGGATATTTTTGATATGCCAGATATGCTACACAATGTCTGAAAAAGCAGTATTAAATATCTCATTGGAGAATTCTAATATCTTGATGTCTGATTGAAGGTCTGTTACTTGCTTCAGTTCACAGAAACATAAAGTACTGAGAGGCCTTTTGGCCTGTCATGTATGTACTAAGTCTTTGTAAGAGCAGTGGTGCTTAGTTCCATAACCCATTTATTTTTGTCCATAGCACTGTCAGTTCCTCATTCTAAGATGCCTGTTTAGCTCCCCTTTAAAATAAATAATGTATGAACTTAGCTGACACTATTCTTTGCTCATGATCTTGAATTATTAACTTCAGATTATTGACCCACTTATCAAAGTTTTTGTCTATCTACTCTAACAAAATGCCTCGTCACCATGAAACTCCCTATTAGGTAACCTCTTAGTTTTCCCTGTTCCTAACATTTCCAACCTCACCTCCTCAATGAAGTTCCTGATCCCTAACAACATCACTGAAAACTTCCTCTGTACTCTTTTCATAGCTTTCACATCTTTTCTAAAGTGTATACTTCCACAGTACTTCAGCTGAAGTGTAACCAGGGTGTTTTGTGCCTATCTTTAAAGCAAAAGACACCAAAACCATCCCAAGATAGAAGAAAGCTAGGGAGCGAAAGGAAGGTAGCAACTCAAAACAATCCTGATCACCAAACAAAAAAGAACAAGGAAAGCTAACAGTAGTAAAATCTGTCATGTTCTCTCGACCTGTGGGCCGGCATCCCCAGGTCATAAAGGAAGTGCTGCATTGGTTGTTTCAATATGTTATGTTATGTCACACCTCCAGGGCAGCTGGGACTTGAACCTGGGCCTTCTGGCTCAAAGTTGAGGGCACTAACACTGTGCCACAAGAGTCCCCTACAAGGTCCCAGAGGAGGGAAAGTGACAAACATAATACCACTATTCAATAAAGGAAGGAGACAGAAAGCAGGAAACTACAGACCAGTTAGCCTAACATTTGTCATTGAACAAATGATAGAATTGTTAAGGAGGTAATAAGAACACATTGTGATTTTCTCAATGAGATCAGGAAGAGTCAGCATGAACTGATCAAAAGGAAATTGAGGATGTAATATGAAAGTTGAATAATGAAGAACCAGTAGATTTAGTGTATTTAGATCTTCGAAGGGCATTCAATAAGGTGCCATAAAGCAAGTTGCAATGTAAAGCAAAAGCTCATGTGTACGGGAATAACATAATAGCACAGTCAGAAGATTGGCTAACTAATATGAAACAGTGTGGATAAATGGGTCATTTTCAATTTGACAATCTGTAACTAGCGGAGTGCAGCATGGATCAATGCTGGGCGCTCAAATATTGACAATTTGTCTTAATGATTTGAATGAAGGGAGAAATAGTGCTATGGCCAAATGTACTTGGGGCCTGACCATGACCATTGGATCCTCTCCCTCTCACAGTATCTTTCTCACTAGTCCAGTGCAGATGTCCCAAACCTGGCACTGGACGTATAAAACTACATTCTGATCTCATACTCTCAGCTGCAGATATGTGTGTCTATCCCCCTGACCATCTCTTATTACCACACATTCCCCTGTGTTTGAATGGCCTCCTGCACCTGCTGCCACAGTCATAGAGTCATAGAGTCATACGACACGGAAACAGACCCTTCAGTCCAACTCATCCATGCCAACCAGTTTCCCCAAACTAAACTCGTCCCACTTGCCTGTATTTAGTGCATAAATACATCTAAATCCATCTAAACCTTTCCTATTCATGCACCTGTCCAAATGTCTTTTAAATATTGTAACTGTGTCTGTATCTACCACTTCCTCTGGTAGCTCGTTACATATATGCACCATCCTCTGCATGAAAAAGTTGCCCTCAGGTCCATTTCAAATCTTTCTCCTATCACCTTAAGTCTATGCCCTCCAGTTTTGAACTCCCCTACCCTAGGGAAAAGACATTTGCTATTCACCTTATCTATGCTCCTCACGATTTTATAAACCTCTACAAGGTCACCCTGAACCTCCTATGCTGCTAGGAAAAAAAGTCCCAGCCAATCTCTCTCTCCTTATACCTCAAACCGTCCAGTCCTGGTAAGATCGTTGTAAACCAATTCTGCACCCTTTCCAATTTAATAATAATCTTCCTATAGCAGGGCAACCAGAACTGTACACAATACTCCAAAGGTGGCCTCACCAATGTCTAGTACAGCCACAACATGAATCCCAACTCCTATACTCAATGCTCAGACCAATGAAGGCAAGCATGCCAAACACCATCTTCATCACCCTGTTTGTTTGCAATTGGCTTTGCAGCCACCACTTTCATCCATAAAGGTTGAAAGCAGGCTATTTGGCTCTTCAGGCCTTTCAATACGATCTTTCTTGAATAAATTCAGCGATTTGGCCTTCTCCTGTGTTCATAGAATCCCTACAGTGTGGAAACAGGCCCTTCGGCCCAACAAGTCCACACGGACCCTCAGAGCATCCCACTCAGACCCATTCCCCTAATCTTGCACATCCCTGAACACTACGGGCAATTTAGCATGGCCACTCCACCTAGCCTGCACATCTTTGGACTGTGGGATGAAACCGGAGCACCCGGAGGAAAACCACGCAGACATGGGAAGAATGTGCAGACTCCACACAGACAGTTGCCCGAGTGTGGAATTGAACCCGGGTCCCTGGCGCCATGAGGCAGCAGTGCTAACCATTAAGCCACCGTGACGCCCTGTGGAAGAGAATTCTCCAGGTTCACTACCCTGAGTCAAGAGTTGTTTCCTCATCTGGTCTACCCCATATTGTGAGACGGTGTCCTGTGGTTTGAGAATTTCCAAACAGAGAAAAACATCCTCTGTGCATCATTTCAATGAGATTCCCTCTCATCCTTCTAAACTCTAGTGAGTATAGGCCCAGTCAAACCAATCTCTCCTCCTGCCCATCCCCAGTATTATCTTGTGAAACTCCGCTGCACTCCCTCAATGAGGATTATATCCTTTCTTAGGTAGGGAGACCAAAACTACATGCAATACTCCAGGTATTGTCTCACCAAGGCCTTGTATAATTACAGCAAGACATCCCTATTTCTGAACTCAAATTCTCTTGCATTGAAGGCCAGTATACTATTTGCCCTCTTAATAGCTTGTTGTACCTGCCTGTTTACTTTCGTTGACTGGTGTATAAGGACATCTGGGGGTCTCTTTCTACATCCACACTTCCCAACATATCATTATTTAAATAATATTCTGCCTTTCTGTTTTAAGTATTGGACATTCTCGGAAGGCACAAACATTACAAGGGTTTTATTTCACTAAAGCATTTGTACTTTGCAATGCATTATAAATGCTGGCAACTTTTGTTCGGAGTGTGATGAACTCACACTGTTCTTTGTTCTCCTCCTCAGGTTTATTGCTGTCACGACGAGCAAAATTGTTGTTGAAGCTTCTTCAAAGTGGCCTCGATGATAACTATCACAGAGAAAAATTCCCACAGCAGTTCAGCAACATCTGTCTTTTCATTCTGAGGGACTGCCTGGCTGAGGCTGAAGAAGATGCTTCTGAGATATCAACTCTGAATATTCTGGGATGTCTTCAGAGACTGGAAAGGAATGGCTCTGTGGATGTTACAGTTCTCAAGGAACTCAGTGAACTATGGATGGAAGGAACAGTGGAAAACCTCTGCAGAAGTATCCCATTTATTGCTCAGCTTATCAGAGACCTTTTCCCTCACTTGGACACAATGGAGTTTGATGCAGTTCCTGTACGGAGAGGTGTTTATCGTTGCCAACAGCGAGCAGTCAGGCGCATTACCAGCTTCAAAGGTAATGAGCATGTACCTTCCAAAAGCTCTCTTCAGGAAGTACCTTCAACACACCTCTTATCAAACCACAGGTTATATTTCATTCTTTCCAGTAGTCCAGTGTCATTGAATCAACCATATTTCAACGTAGCACTTTTTGTCAAAAGGTTAGCACTGAGCCAAAAGATCAGCGTATAAACTAATCAGACTCAATGGGCTGATGGCCTCTTTTTGCACTGTAGGGATTCCATGATTCTATCAAAATTGTACATGGTAACTTAAGCATGGATGTACAAAATGTGGCCAGGATTGTAATGAGTATTTGGTCTGTCTTCATAAAGGAGGCAGGTGATGCAGATATTCGAGTTAAAGAGGAGGAGTTTGAAGTAGTAGATAAAATATGCATAACGAGAAGGCAAGTATTGGAGGGTCTGACCTCCTTGAAGGCTGGTTGAGTTGTAACCCAGGTTGTTAAAGGAAGCCAGGCAGGAAATAGCGGATGCTCTGAGGATCATTTTCCATCCTTACTGGATACAGGCAAAGCACCAGAGGTGTGGAGGTGTACAAACATTGTACCATTATCCAAAAATGCTGCAAGGGATGGGCCAAATAATTAGATGCCAATCAGTCTGACCTCAGTGGTATGCAAATTACTAGAATTAATAGAGAGATCAGATTAATCAGAGATAGTCAGCATGATTTTGTCAAGGGAAAGTCGTGTCTTACTAACGACATAATTTCCTCGAAGAAGTAACAAGGAAGTCTGATAGGGATAGTGTGTTGTCTACATGGATTTCAGTAAGGCATTTGAATCATCATAGAATCCCTACAGTGTGGAAGCAGGCCATTCAGCCCATCGAGTCCACGCTGACCCTCCTTAGAGCATCCCACCAAGACCTACCCCCTTACTCTCTCTTTGTAACCCTGCATTTCCCATGGCTAATACACCTAGCCTGCACATCACTAGACACTATGGGAAATTTAGCATGGCCAATCTACCTAACTTGCACATTTTGGACTGTGGGAGGAAACTGGGGCACCTGGAGAAAACCCACGCAGACGTGGGGACAATGTACAAACTGCACACAGATAGTCGCCTGAGGCTGGAATCAAACCTGAGTCCCTGGCACTGCGAGGCAGCAATGCAAATCACTGAGTCACCAGGCTGCCTCTACATCCCACATGGCAATCTGGTCTGAAAAAATTAAAGGTCTTGGGATACAGAGGAATTGTGGCGAGGTCAATCCAAAATTGGCTCAGTGACAGGAAAAAGAGGGTAATGGTTGATGTATGTTTTTACAAATGGAAGGCAGTTTCAAGTTGTTCCACAGGGCTCAGTGTTAGGCCCCTTACTAAATGATTTAGGCAGACTGGTGGGAGACATGATTGGGAAATTTGCAGATGACATAAAAATTGCCTGGGTGGCTGAGGATAGTTCTCAACTGCAGGATGACATCAACTCTTTGGTTGAGTGTGAGGAAAATTGGCAAATGCAATTCAATCCAGAGAAAAGCAAATTTATGTATTTAGGGATGGCAAAGCAAGGGAATGTGCAATAAACAGTAGGATATTGAGAGGGGTGGAGGAAGTGAGAAATCTTGAAGTGCATGTCCTTAGGTGGCAGATCAGGCAGATAAAGTGGTAAAGAAGGCATATGGTGAGGTATTGAGTACAAGAGCAAGGAAATGATGCTGAAACTACGAGACACTGATTATGCCACCACTGGAATTCTGTGTTCAGTTCTGGCCACCATATTACAGAAAGGACATAATTGCTCTACAGAGCATAGAGAAGTTTTACAAGTAAACTTCCAGAGCTTGAAAATTGCAGCTATGAGAAAGATTGGTTAGGCTAGAGTTATTTTTTTCCCTTAGAACACAAGAAATTAAATGGTGTCTTAATCAAGAACAAAACATCATCATCATCGTCGGCGCTCCCTTGCAGACGACCATGACCCTCTTCCATTCTCAGGGCGAGGCCATAGGTGCCAGCACAGTCCGATGCAATACCGCAGGCAGAAGGTGGTCATTGGAAGAGGTGGGGCGGCCATTGATGTGGCAGTGCGCTCCTTTCGCTGTTTTTGCCTGGATTCTGCTTTCTCCTGACGGCAACTCTCGAGGTTCTCGATGCCTTCCCAGATGCTCCTCCTCTGCTTTGGATGGTCGTGGGCCAGCAATTCCCAGGCGTCTGTGGGAATGGCACACTTCACCAGTGAGGTCTTGAGGGTTTCCCTGAAGTGCTTCCTCTGTCTACCTGGGGCTCACCTGCTGTTTCGAAGCTGGGAGTGGACCACCTGCTGAGGGAGTATCGTATCGGCCCTTCACATGATGTGCCCAGCCCATTATCACCAATTGTGGGTGGTCAGTGCCTTAATGCTGGGGATGTTGGCCTGGTCAAGGTCACTGGTGTTATTGCATCTTTCTTCCCAGTAGATTTGGAGGATTTCGCACAGGCAGAGTTGATGGTACTGCTCCAGCACCTTGAGGAGTCTGCTGTAGAGAGTCCATGTCTCAGAACCATATAAGAGGTTGGGAACCACCACAGCTCTGTAAACTGTGATCAAAGTACAAAATAATGAGCAGCTTAGATAGAGTAAACCAGGAATACCGGCTTCTCCAAGTGGAATGGTCAATTACCAGGAGGCACAGATTAAGATGATTGACAGAAGGGTTTAGAGGGACATGAGGAAAAATGTGTTCATCCAGAGAATGACGGGTGTCTGGAATTCACTGCCCAGTTTAGTGGTTGAGGCAGAAAACTTCAACTCATTTAAAAAGGATTAGGGAACTTGGGGAAATAAATAGTGATGTCTCGAAAAGAGTTCATATTACAGAAGAGAAGGTGCTGGAGATCTTAAAACGTATTAAAATCCCTGGGACCCGATCAGGTGTTTCCCAGAACTTTGTGGGAAGCTAGGGAAGAGATTGCTGGACCCCTTGCTAAGATATTTGTATCACCAACAGCCAAGGGTGAGGGAATGATGTTTTTAAACTTGAGTGGGTGTAGAAAAGATTTACAAGGATGTTGCAGGGACTGGAGGGTTTGAGTTATAGGGAGAGGCTGGACAGACTGGCACTATTTTCCCTGCAGCATCGGAGATTGAAGGGTGACCTTATAGAGGTTTATAAAATTAAGAGGGGCATGGATAGGGTGAATAGCAAAGGTCTTTTCCCTAGAGTGGGGAGTCTGAAACTAGACAGCGTAGGTTTAAGGTGAGAGGGTAAGATTTAAAAAGGACTTGAGTGGTAACTTGTTCACGCACAGTGTGGTGGTGCGTGTCTGCATGGTAGAGGTAGGTACAATTACAACATTTAAAAGGCATCTGGATAGGTATATGAATGGGAAGGGTTTCAAGGGATATGGGCCAAATGCTGGCAAATGGGACTAGGTCACATTGGAATGTCTGGTCAGCGAGGACGAGTTAGAGCAAAGGGTCTGTTTCCGTTCTGTATGACTCTATGAAGCACTCAAAGCATTGTAATCTGCAAGGCTACAGATCAGGTGCTGGAAGGTGGAATCAGAATGGGTGGCTAGTTTACTCAGTGAACGCAAAGACAGTAGACTGAATGGCTTTGTTCTGTGCTGTAAGTTGATGACGTCTAGGCTTAGTGCTTAGCACTGCTGCCTCACAAGACCAGGGACCTGGGTTCAATTCCAGCCTCAAGTAACTGTCTGTGTGGAGTTTGCACATTCTCCCTGTGTCTGCGAAGGTTTTCTCTAGGTGCTCTGGTTTCCTCCCACAGTCCAGAGATGTGCAGGTTAGGTGGATTGGCCGTGTTTAATTGTCCACAGTGTCCAGGGATATGTAGGTTAGGTGGATTGGCCACAGCAAGTGTGGGTTTATGGGAATTAGTGTGGGTCTGGGCGAAATACTCTTCCACAGGTCAGTGCAGACTTGATGGGTCAAAAGGCCTCTTTCTGCACTGTATGGATTCTATGATTCTATGAACTCCTGTACTGTCTCTAGAGCATCAGACTGCTAGCACTACCACGAAATACTGGATGAGCAGGCTTTTAATGAGGAAGTCCAAAACTGATATCTTCATTTCCCAAAGTTCCTTTGCCTAGCTATGTCTGAGGCTGTCTGTAATTAGTCATTGTGTTCGATCTGAGTGTGAGCTGAGCTTTTAACCCACATCATCTCTAAACTGCCTCCTCCCCTTTATCTGCATATCTGCTGCTAGCCCTTATCTGTGCCTTAAATACATAGAAAATGGATTCTTCTAATTCTCTCTTGGCCACGCTTCCATTTTTCATGTTCCATAAACCCTTGCCCTTCCATGTCTTTTCTCTAACCTTCTCCAGCTCCAGTAACTCACTAAGCTATGGAACTCCCTCCCTAAACCCCTTCAGCTCTCTTTGTTCATTTAAAATTAAAATTTATGGCAGCACAGTGGCTCAGTGGTTAGCACTGCTGCCTCACAGTGCCAGGGATCTGGGTTTGATTCCACCCTCAGGCAACTGTGTGGAGTTTGCACCTTCTCCCCATGTCTGTGTGGGTTTACACTGGGTGCTTTGGTTTCCTCTGCAAGTCAGGTGAAATGGCCATGCTAAATTACCCATAGTGTTCAGGGATGTGTAGGTTAGGTGTATTAGCCATGGGAAATGTAGGGTTACAGGGATAGGTTAGGGGGATGGGTCTGGGTGGGATACTCTTTGGAGGATCGGTGTGGGCTCAATGAGCCAAATGGCCTGTTTCCAAACCGTAAAGGTTCTGTGGATCCTATGGAAAATGTATTTCCGGTGATGACATATCAAACTCTTTTGTGGCTCAGTGTCAAATTTCATTTGGTAATGTTCCAGTGAAGCTCCATAGAATGTTTCATATTAAAGATGCTTTTCAAATGCAAGTTGTTATATCTCTTTTCATCTACCAGCAGTATGCAAGATGGGAGATAGTGAGCAGGAATCTAGTAGTTCACCCAGAGCTCTGTTCACAGCCAGAATGAAACTCTGAGCAATCATTGCACAGATTAGTGAACAAATTATTAATTGTGATAGTAGTTTTGATCATATCATTGAATCCCTCTTGTGTAGAAGCAGGCCATTCGGCCCATCGCGTCCACACCGCCCCTCTGAAGAGCATCCCACCCAGACCCACCCCTACCCTATCCCTGCATTTCCCACCCTAGACACTATAGGCAATTTAGCACAGCCAACCCACGTAGCCTGCACATCTTTGGACTGTGGGAGGAAACCGGAGCACCCAGAGGAAACCCACACAGACACGGGGAGAATGTGCAAACTCCACACAGACAGTTTTGTATTTTATTATCCAAGATGTCACTCCATATCCTTTTTTTTCCTAGGACTTCCAGCAAGAATCATTCAGAAAGTGATGGAACCCAAATCTGTAGTGTTGGCAAGTGAGGAAAGAATAATCTTTGGAAACCGGGAGCTGGTAGCTGGAGAATTTACACAGCTTTGTCTGAAAACTGCTCAAATTCTTCAGCAGCTCCAGGACTACCAGTGCAATGAGGTGACATCAAAGCACAGAAGACACTTAGACAAACAGGATATCGGAAAGGAAATCAGGAGGATTTTGGCTACCGAAGACTTTGGGCGCAATTCCTTTGACTCTTGTATGAAGGCACGGCTTCTGTCACTGGTTGAGTTTGATCCTATTTTCTACAATGAGCCACTGTTTCTGATGCTTCATTATGACAGCTTCATTTCCTTAGCTGAATACTTAAAGGCTAATGACGCACACTGTTTTCAGTTTGTTTTCGAAGAGGTTCACATGTATCAATGTGATGCAAAGTTTCACAGTGTGCGGAGTGTGTGGGGTCCCGTGATGATTGACCAAGGTGTAGAGCAGGTATTCCAGTTTTCCACCTCTGATCGTGCTTCCTTTTTGGTCTGGCTTCATTGCAGAGGTTACAGGGATGGTCAGTATTTTCAATGCAATCAGCCACTCACGTACAAGCTGTCACACCTATCTGCCAGTTTGCAACAGGAAGCCGAGAAAGCTGGTGCAGTGGTTGCCAAACAGGCTGGCGCAACCTTGCTCCGGGACATTTCTGATGGAGGTTTGAAGGAAATTGCAAAGAAGATTGTTCAGAGTTCTGATGGGACTACAGAAACAGGAAACTGTTGCTTCCTCATCAACTCATGGAGTACAAAGTGTGAAATTAGGCTCCTTTACAAGGATGACACAATAACTGCATCAGTAGGAAGCGATGCAGACATTCACTGACCTATGAATTGCCATAAAACCCTCTTCATTGACTGCAGGTTGGTGGACAGTGAAATGGAGTTTCAATCAGGTTGGGGTATCCTCTGATGAGCAGCCTTTCAGTGTGACCTTGTGCTAAATTCCTGCCTGTTACATTATTTGGAAGTAGGCATTCAGCCATTTAACCAAACCTTTGGCTACTGGTTTTGTTGAATAAATAACCAGGGCTCCAGTTGGAAAGCTACCAATGCTATGATGATATAGGTGGGAAATGGAACTGTCCAGTATGCACACTTTGGGCCAAATGGCTTCAGTCTGTACTGTAATGACTATAACTCTCACCCCATTTCTGCTTTACCCTCGCTCTCTGACCTGCACAGGACTCTGAACTTGTTTCAGCTCCAACTTGCCGATTAAAGAGTGCTGAATTGTAGATCCCTGATATTTGCAATGGGTTGTTTGACACCGAAGGTAATATGTCTAAAAGTTAGAATCTTTTAAAAATCCGATCTATTTCTAGAAATTGTCAAATTTGACATTCCTGTTTATTGTAACTTACGCTTTATACATTATTGTCAACTGCTTGTGTAATTGGATGTTCAAATATGTTTTCTAGGAAAATAAGTTATAAGAATCAATATTGCTGAAAACTTATGACTAGTACATTATTGCAGGACTAGCTGCAGTGATTGCAACTTTTTGTAAATGTTCTAACAATAGAATTCTTTATGATTATTTCATTGAAAAATTAGTGCAGAATATTTAATCGGATATATAACTAGACATGAGCCATAGAGTCACACATCACGGAAACAAACCATTAGTCCAACCAGTCCACATCGACCATGTTCCCAAATTAAATTAGTCCCACCTGCCTGCACTTGGTCCATATCACTCCAAACATTTCCTATTCGTGAACTTATCCAAATGTTTAAATGTTGTAACTGTTAACCACATCCACCACTTTCTCTGGCAGTTCATCCTACACATGAACCACTCTGTGTAAAAACGTTGTGCATAATGTCCTTTTTAAACTCTTTCTCCTCTCGCCTTAAAAATATGCCCCCTAGTTTTGAACTCCCACTCTAGGGAAAATATCTTTATCATTCACCTTATCTACGCCCCTATGACTTTATAAACTTCAATAAGATTGCCCCTCAACCTCCTGTGCTCCAGAGAAAAAAGTCCGAGCCTATCCAGTCTATTTTTATACCTCAAACTTTCCGTTCCTGGCAACATCCTGGTAACTCTTTTCTGAGCCCTCTCCATTATATAAAGTAAATTATTACACACCATAAATGTCAGCCTTTCTTACTTCTGAGATGGAAGGTTGTGATTTCAAGACTCAGCTCAGAAACTGGAGCACACAATGCAGACTGACACTCAAACACGGAAAGCACTGCACTGATCACTCTACCTTAATTAGTTCGTACAGTTTTGGATTATTTGTTACTTTGGTTAAACCTTCGGCATGTGACTCTTATACATATCATCATATTATTCCAGCCATTTAGTTTGTCTCCGGCACCACCTTATTCTTAATTTTTTGTAATTATCTGCTGCCTCAATTAATCAGATTATAGTCATCCCTTCACTTGCTGTTCAGCTGTTGACACTTGTCTCACACTGTCTGACACTTTAGATCACCTGCAGAGACTTATTATTCAGCCTGTCGACACCCCATTTATTACACCAGTTGTACGATCTTTTGATCTCTCTGCCTATAAGTTCTGTGTCTGCATGCTTTTCTTCACTTCACCTGATGAAGGAGCAGCATTCCGAAAGCTTGTGATTTCAAATAAACCTGTTGGACTATAATCTGGTGTCATGTGAGTTCTGACCTTGTCCACCCAAATTCAACACTGGCACTTCCACATCAACACTTTTAGGGCTTCAGCACCTTTCTCCATGCTTTTGCCAACCGCCACACACCAGACCTTGTCATCACATGAGCTGCTACACACAACCCATTGTCAGCCACTAATATTCCCCATTAGCGGCTACTTGTTCTCCCAGACTGGCTTTTAACCACTCGTTTGTTTGTCCAAACGTTTTTAATGTCTTTTTAGGCTTTTACACACACACGCGCACACACGCACATCTGAGGAAGGGTCACCAGACCCGAAACATTAACTATGTCCTTTCCTTCATACATGCTGCCAGACCTGCTGAGATTTCCCAGCACTTTCTATTTCTGTTGAGGATTAATGTAGATAGGTTGGTGATGGGGCAAAGGGCTCCTCTATGCTGTGTGACTCTACAACTCACAAATAGCCTAGCTCAGTTTTAAGGTTATGCCCCCTCATTCTGAACTGCCCCCTTTAGGGGAAATGGATCCTTCTTTAACCACCTGAAACATGTCAATCAGACTATCCCTTAATACTGTAGTGACACAAGTTTATTTCACTATTCCCAACCAATCTTTATACTTAAACCCTTTTAGCCTGGTATCATTTGAACGAATCTGTGCTGCAGCCTTTTCAAGGCTGATCTTCCTTCCTGAGATTTGGTACCCAGAATTAAAAGAAATGACTTTATAAAGTACCTTTCGCAATTTCAGGAAATCCTAAAGCATTTTAAAGCCGATGAAATACTTTTTGAGGTGCTACTTTGTATGTAATAGGGAGACTACAGCAGCCAATTTCAATACAGTAAGGTCCCGCAAACAATGATGAAAACTGACAGTTTTTTTTATAGTGTTGTTTGACAGGTGAATATTGGCCAGGACAATAAGATGAACCCCACTTCTTTTCTTTGAAATAGTGCCAGGCAATCTATTATGTCCAGAGGGACAGATAAGGTTTTGCATAACCCTTTTCCTTTTTTCTTTATTGGACTGAGCATCTTGCTGGAGCATCTCAGAGGACAATTAAGAGTCAAACACATTGCTGTGGGTCTGGAGTTATGTAGGCCAGACCAAACAAATATGGCTGATTTCTTTTGTTAGATGTCATTAATGAACAGATGGGTTTTTGCAACAATTAATGACATTTGTCATTAAGACTAGCTTTATATTCCAAACGTATTGATTGAATTTAACTCCCACCAGCTGCTGAGATGGAATTTCAACCCATGACCCCAGAGTATTAACCTGGAACACCATATTTCTAGTCCAGGGACATTACCACTATGTCACTGTTTCCTCATCTCATCTAAAAAAAACACTCCCTGACAATGCTGCATTCTTTCGGCACTTTATTGGAGTGTCAGTTTTTGATGTTAGTCTTCAAGCCTTGAGAATGGGAGATTAAATTCATAACTGTCTGACTTAGAGGCTACTATTCTGCTTAATATGTCACCCTAAATTGGATCTACCTAGAATTTTATACAGAACATCTACTGTTTTGTCTGCAGGCTCTTTGAGATAAAGGCTGACATTCTATTTGCATTTTTAGTTATTTTTTGTACTACAAGTCTTTAGTGAATTCTGTCCTTGGACCCTAAATCTCCCCTCATCCACAGTAACTGCTTTGGCAATATATTTTTTAAAATCTTCATCTTTTTCTTAGGTTTCAAGTGGATGGACTTACACTTGCTGCATTGAATTGCATCTGCCTTAGCTTTGTCCAATTATTTAATCTGTAAATGTCCCTTTGGAACTTTCTGTTTCCATCTACAATATTTACTATCCCACCTAACGTATCACCAGCAACTTGAACATGTGGCTCTATCTGTCAGTAGTATAGATGAAAGAACAAATGAAAAGGTGCCATTATGTACAAATCACTGGGAAATACCACCACCATTTTAAGTATGCACTCAATTAGCCACACTATCATTTACCTCCTAATCAATTGCATACCCATATTAATAGGCAGACTCCAATTCCATGTATTCTATTTTTTATTAAAGCCTCGTGTGAGATAGCTTATCAAATGTCCTCCTGTGGTCCAAATAAATTGACACCACATTTAATTGATTAATTTGTTACTAGTTACTCTTTACAAATCCATGCACTCTCTGATCAGTCCTCCTGGTTCGCTGGCTTAGTTACTTTATCCTTAATGATAATTCTAACAAGTTTCCCGTAACAGTTATGAGCAACTAGGCACATGATTTCCTTGTTTATCTCATAGAATCATAGAATTCCTACAGTGTGGAAACAAGCCATTCAGCCCAACTAGTCCACACCGCCCCTCCAAAAGAGCATGCTATCCAGATTCATTCCCCATGTCTAACCCACCTAACCTAAACATCCCTGGTCGCTACGGGCAATTTAGCATGGCCAATCCACCTAGCCTGCACATCTTTGGACTGTGGGAGGAAGCTGGAGCACTTGGAGGAAACCCACGCAGACACAGGGAGAATGTGCAAACTCCACACAGACAGTCGCCCGAGGGTGGAATCAAACCTGGGTTGGTGGTGCTGTGCTAACCACTGAGCCCCAACTTCCAGCTTTCTTGAGTAATACACTCATGATGGCAATTTGGTCACATTTAAAACAAAATACTTCTTTAATGTTAACTTCATTTGCAACCTTCCAAGTAGTGACTGGATGATCTACATACAGTGGTCAATTCTGTTTTAACATCGTCTGGTGCAGACCAGGACTCCCACTCCGGCAAGGTAGTGACTGCTGCATTTGTTAGACCATTCCCTGGTCTTTGCTTTCTCTGAATTGATTTCATACCCGGATGAGCTATTAGATTCTGCTCAGTTCTTCCAATGTCCTTCCCAACAGTCAGCTTCCAACCACAGCCATTAGCACCCGTCTCTCAGATGTTTCTTAAATGGTGAGAGTAGCTAGTACGGAGGGAAATGTAGTCATTTTACACTTGTATCTATGGCTATATCATTGTTTAGGTTGTGGGGAAGGATGTTGGGGAGAGTAAAGAAATGCCATTCACAAATAAGTAAGTTTGTACATAGAACAGTACAGCACAGTACAGGCCCTTCGGCCCATGATGTTGTGCCGAACTTTTACCCTAAACCTAAGGTCTATCTAAACTCCACCCCTACCTTATACTATCATCCATATGCCTATCTAATAGCCGTTTAAATGCCCCTAATGAGGCCAGTTCCACTACCCTCTCCGGCAATGCATTCCACGCCCCAACCACTCTCTGAGTAAAGAACCTACCTCTGACGTCTCCCCTATATCTACCTCCACTCACTTTAAAACTATGCCCCCTCATAATAGCTAACTCCACCCTAGGAAAACGTCTCTGGCTGTCCACTCTATCTATACCTCTGATTATTTTGTACACCTCTATCAAGTCACCTCTCATCCTTCGTCGTTCTAAAGAGAAAAGCCCTAGCTCTCTCAACGTTTCCTCGTAAGAAGTGGGGGAAGTGATAGAGAAAGACAGCAACCGATGGAGTTGTACAGAGCGTTGGTTAGGCCACAACTGGACTACTTATGACATTGCTTTTTGTGAGATTGGGATCTTGCTTTTCATGTAAATTAGTTGCTGCATTTCCTACGTTACAAAAATAAATACACTTCTGAAGCACTCTGAAAATCCGAGTGAGTGTTGCATCCTTGTTCAATAAAGAGTGTCA